TAAATTCTACTGCCAGCCATCACTCATCTCTGCTTTAAAACAGATACATATAGAAATATCTATCATAATCTGAACAAACAACTTGAGAATGATGATTACTTCGTCAATTTGGTCTGAGTCTCTTCAAGGAAGTAATCAAACTTCTCAAATTTTTATAAAGAATTATTAGAGTTATTTATATTTCAATTTATGAGTTCATTTAAAATACCATTTTAACATTTCATGTCTTCTGAATTAAATATTGATCCAAAAATAAGTAATAAATCTGTTTAGACACAAATTTTGTTAGGGATTAGAATAAATATAGCTATCGCATTCACGACGGTTTCAGTTGCCCAGTAGAATAATAATAATAATATGATTTTTGCAAAATACCGCGTTTTCTAAATGAATATGTGTCTATTTTCATTACAATGTTTTCTAAGCACCATGAATATACTGCAGACTGTATTCTACATCGTCTAACTGAACATAAATTACAACAAGACATTTAAACAAACAATTATACTACCAAGTAATTCTTCTTAAGGCCTTACTCTAAGAAACAGTCATATTTACATAATTAAAAAAACGTCAAACCAATCAAAATAGTTGATTGATTAAACGACAAAATGGAATTCTGGTTTCATTACACCCATCAAATAAGTAAATTTATTGAACTAATATGAAGATACCATACTATTTTGTAATCTCATAGGTTGTTGATAATTAAACTCATTCATTCGTTCAATTTACTTATCACGAATTTCATTGCAATATTATATTGATAAACTTTGAAATTTCAATAGATTTAAAGAGGTCAAAAAAGATACATGCTGACACTAACATAGTCTTCCATAAAGATTGAATACAAATAATTTTGTAATGAGTAATAAAGATTAGATAGATACATGAAACGTTCGAACAATGTAGAAAACTGGGAAGACCAGTCAAATAGCCACGAAATGATGAGTAACAACATAGCAGTACTCGGGATTAATGAAACCCATTGGATCCAAGCTGGACAGAAAAGGTAAGATTCAAAAGAGATGCTGCTGCACTCTGGTCACGAAAAGAATAATGCTCTACACACTCAGGGAGTTGCTCTAATCCTGTCCAAAAAAGCACTTATAGGGTGGGAATCTTATGCATCCAGAATCACCAAAACATCATTCAAAACAAAGAAGGAGTTAATCACGATAAATGTTATCCCATATTATGCATCCATCAATGATAGCAACGAATGAAGATCAGTTCTACGAGAGGCTGCAATCAATTATAGAGGAGTTACCAAGAAAGAATTTCACCATCCTGATAGGAGGTCTAAACGCCAAAGTTGGAATGGACAGCACAAAATATGAAGATATCATGGAACAATATGAACTGACTGGGAGAAAGAGACAGAAATGGTAACAGACTTGCTAATGTATGTGCCTCCACACAAACGCATACACAAAGCTGCATGTGTCTGGATTACACCACGAAGTACTAGATAGATCATATTTGTACCAAAAAAATTCAGAAGGACAATAGAAGACGTGAGAACCAAAAGGGGAGTTGACATAGCTTCACATAACCATCTGGCAGTTTCCAAAATGAAACTGAAGCTAAAGAAACATTAGAAAACTGGACAGACAGCATTACTAAGGTTCAGTACAGCCTTTCTTCGAGTTACTAACAAACTCAACCAATTCCAGATAACTCTCAACAACAGGATCCACTGAAAAAAGAAACTATCATGGAGGACAGCTGGGAAGGGATCAAAGAAGCATAAACTTTAACGTGTCACGGGATTCTGAAACGCAAAAAGCATCATCATAAGAAATGAATCACTATGGAAACACTGAGCAAGTTTCAAGACAGGAAGAAAAAGAAGACAGCAATTAACAACAGTCTAACAAGGACAGAGAACTTCAAGGCACAAGCTGAGCAAACGAGCCAGTGAAGAAGAGCATTAGAGACGACAGGCAGAAATACGTGTAAGATCTAACCACGACAACGAAAAAAATTTACGACAGAAGGAAATATGAGAAAACATTATGACACGACGATGAATCTGGCAAGGAAATATGGTAAACCAGAGAGACTGGTCAAGGAAAAAGAATGCAAGGCCATCACTGAGATTCAAGAGTAAGGAGAAAGATGACTAGAGCAATTTGAGGAACTCTTCAATAGAGCAGCTCTATTGAATCTACCAGACATCGAAGCATCACACACAGACCTTCCTATAGATGTCACTCCACCAACCATCAAAGAAATCAGAATAGCCATCAGACAAATCAAGAGCGGAAAAAGCGGCAGGACCAGACAATATACCAGAAAAGTACTAGGGTAAGACATAGAAGTAACTGCAAACATGATCCACACCCTATTCAGGAAGATTTGGGAGGATGAACAAGTGCCGACGGACTGGAACGAAGGATATCTCATCAATATAGCAAAGAAAGGAGATCTGAGCAAATGTGAGAACTACAGAGACACCACGAAAAGTATTCAACTAATCTGTTGAACCAGACGAAAAACTCAGTAGATGCCCAACTTCAGGATCAACAAACCGGCTTCGGTAAGAATCGGTCGTGCATAGTCCAAATCACGACGCAACGGATCGTTGCTGAACAATCGATTGTGTGGAACTCGTCACTATAAATCAAGTTCATTGACTATGAAAAGGCTTTTGACAATGTGGGCAGAAGGCCCTTATGGTGACTGCTTCAACACTACGGTGTACCTGAGAAGATCATCAACATCATACGGAATTCATACGACGGACTACAGTGGGAAGTTGTGCATGGAGGACAGATGCATTTCACGTAAGGACCGGAGTAAGACAAAGCTGCCTACTCTACCCCTTTCTCTATCTTCTGGTGGTCGACTCTATTGTGAAGACCTCGACATCTAAGGAAAAGCACGGAATAGAATCAACAGCTCGAAATCACTTAGAAGATTTGGACTCCGTGGATGACGCGGCTTTTCTATCCCATACACACAAACAAATGTAGATGAAGACAACTTGTATAGCAGCAGCCCCTGCGTTAATAGGCTTCAACATACACATCGTAGGAAGCAAGATCCTCACATACAACCCGAAAAACACCAACCCAATCACACTTGACGTAGAAGCTCTGGAAAAGGTGGGAACTTTCACGTATTTAGGCAGCAACATCGATGAACCAGAAGGATTTGATGCAGACATAAAGGCAAGGATTGGCAAAGCAAGGACAGCATTAATACAGCTAAAGAACATATGAAACTCAAACGAACTGTCTGAAAGCCAACATCAAAGTCAGAATCTCCAATACGAACGTCAAGACAGTTCTACTCTATGGAGCTGAGAATTGGAGAACTAATACAACCATAATCAAAAACATACAAGAATTTATAAACAATTGTCTACGTAAGATACTGGATGTCCGTTGGTCGAATACCATCTGCAACAACCTACTGTGGAAGAGGAAATTGGAAAAAGACGTTTGAAGTGGATAGGACACATATTGGGGAAACCACCAAACTGCATCACGAGGTAAGCTCCAATTTGGAATCCTGAAGGAAAATAGAAAAGAGGAAGGCCGAAGGATCTGGAACAGAAATTATAAGGATGAATAACAAATAGAAAGGACTACCCAGGACAGTGTTGGATGGAGAGTGCTGTTGAGCGGCCTATGATGCTCCATGAGGGGTAACAGACGAAAATAAGTAAATAAATATAAATGCATAACTTGTAGTCAAGGTAGCCTAAGGAATGATGTCTTTATTTTTAGTACTGAAGACTGAGACCTAGGGTTCTTGCCGAGATATCACTATCTCCTCACTTATCATAATGAATAACAAGGATTTGGGAAGGAGATTTTCTTCAGTTAGGTTTCTTAGAATTGAGTTTACATTTAAGAACTAATAATTCAACTTAAATTACAAAGATGACAAATTTATTTTTAGTGAGGATGCTGGAAAAATCCAATGTACTGTACATGATATATATATATATATATATATATATATATATATATATATATATATATATATATATATACCATAGATGTTTAGTGCAGAGCATAATGTAGTTTCTTACTTGGGTAAACAATTACTATGGTATATTAAGATGAATAATAAGTGAATATTCTTATGAGTAATTATGTTACAAACTAAGTAAAATCTTTCGTAGTTTTTTTTCCCATTTAAATATGTAAAACAGTTTTAGAACATCATTAATATAGAATCTTGGAAAATTCATAAGAGATTGGAAAGTTTAAGACTGTATAAAAACGATAATACAGTTTGATAAAAGGAATTTAATATTTGAATTCATGAGTCGATTAAAGGTAGATCATCCTGAAAAACCTGGAAGCACTAGAAAGCTGTTTCGTCCTAGTATAAGACTCTTCAGCGTTGCGCATCTACGATCCCGCTCACCGCGAGGCTTGAACCCAGTATTTATCAGTCTCGCGCGCGAGTGCTTAACCTCTAGAACACTGAGCCAGCATCAAACGGTGTTAACGTTTAACTTCAACCAATCCATGAGATTGATCCACCGTACACCATTGTCTTCAGTCAGTTGATATCTCACAACAGACCTTGTTGTGCACTGCTTAGGAGTTCCATACTAGGACGAAACAGCCGTCCAGTGCTTAGAGGTTTTTCATGATGGCCTAGCTTCGATCAACTTATAATTTCAACTATTGATATTTTTGTTTTCATTGTTATTCTACGCTGTGACATCATTAATATCTATTTTTAATTAGTTTCTTATTTATTATATTTCACTATGTTTTGTTTTTGTTAACATGATGTTTACAAAGAAGTTATATACATGAATCAATTATGTTTCCATGTTATTTGTCATTTGTTTTTCTTTATTTTCACTAATATATAATACGTATTATTGTTAATTTTAAAATGTTTATCATCAATATAAAACGAATTAAAACTTGAAATGTTATGAACTACTTATTAATAGTCTTTGAACTTATGTATATAATTGATACACACAAAATAGATAAATCAATTTTCATTATTTTTATTTTAAGGTAATTTTATACTTCGTCCAACAAATCAAATTACTTATGCTGGATCTACAATACAACATGCATGTAGTGTTATGACTACACCAGTTTTTATTGAATGGTATTTAAATACTGTAAGTAATGTATTTTAGTTTCTATTATTTACCTTATTATTTTTGTATGTTATAAATAGAATATACATTTTTTTCAATTATTTATTATGTATTATTATGACACAAAAACTATTTAGTTAAGTCGAAGAACAAAACTTACTAGAAAAGGTATGGAGAAACTGAGAATGAATAATAAAACGAAAAATTATCAAATATGTCATTTGATTAAGAATACTGATTATGTATGTTTAGTATGTTCGATAAAGAGATACGTTGTATTCGTTATGAAAAATGAAGTGATGAACTATAGCACAGCTATCATTGGATTCGGTTATAATCGAGCGAAGATTAAATCACCAGTAACTTATGAGACATATTAATTGACTAATATTATCTATACATTCTTATGATATAACTATTCAATAATTGGATTAGGTATAATGATATTCCTCTTATTATAAACTTTATTTTGACCTATAATTTGATATTGTACGATTTACTGTTCTTAAGCTATGTTCAGTTTATTAACTACTGCTTCCCATGTTCACAGTCACTTTTTGACTTAATTGTGTACAAATGTTATTTCCTATTTTATGGTGCATTGCCGTCTGTTTGATTGATATATAAACCCAGTATGTCTGAAATAAATGATTCGATTCGATTCGCGTCGCATAGTGGAAGCTGCTATTGATGTTCTTGACTCAAGTGAATGGGTTACGCGGACATAGGACCAATAAGGACTCTAGGTTACTCATACCGGTCGAACGTCATTGGTTTGGCACAGTGCTAAGACTGTATAAGTCGTATTTTGATTGGTGGATAAATCACGTGATTAAAAGCCGAACATAAAGTCACAACAGATTCTGTTCGAATACATATCTAATATTGTCTTAATTGACTTTATTATCAGAATGTGTTTTGTGGAGATTTTTAGAAATTTTCACAGATTGAAATCATGAGTCAGTTGAAGCTAGACCACCATTGAAAACCTGGAAGCACTGGATGGCCGTTTCGTCCTAGTATGGGACTCCTCAGCAGTGCGCATCCACGGCCCCGCACCACTCAGGGCTCGAACCCAGGGCCTACTGGCTTCGCGCGCGAACACTTAACCATTAGACCACTGAGCCGGCATCCAGCGGTGTTAATGTCTAACTTCGACCAATCCACGAAGTTGAGTTACCGTACACCATTGTCTTCAGTGAGTTCCTATCTCACAACAGACCTGGTTGAACTCCACTGGTTACGACTTCTCACTAGAACTCCAGAAGTGTCTCCTGAAGTCAGTCACTTGTGAGCAGGTGATTATTATTATCAGAATGTTTTGTGGAGATTTTTAGAAATTTTCACAGATTGAAATCATGAGTCAGTTGAAGCTATTGTATTATTTCCAGGACTTTATTTTGGTTAGCTTTGAACAAATAACTGATACCAACTCAATGGATCTATACTTTATTCCATAATACATCATAAACTGGCAAGATTTTCATATTCTTCATTCAGTTCTGGCATCAGCAAATAGTTCAATCAATCGTTTATGAGTAAAAAATGATTATACCACAGAAGCTAATATTTTAGTTTGTAATACTTCGTAATTTATTCCCTATACACATCTTAAGTAAAAGATATATTTACTAAATCATAGCACCTTTTGAAAAAAATGATAACCAAAAACAGAGAGCCATTGATCTCATCCAGATCATGGATGAAATGTTTCATCAACACAGAAAAAAGTCACTCATATTAAAGAGCTGTATACTTGATCTTAACTGGTAATACTAAATTCACAAAGCACTTAAGAATAATTCAGAATGATACACATCTTTCTGACTTTGGTTAAACCTAAATTAATCATATTAACACCACTCACACACTGAAATACACGAATTTTCTAATTAGTTTCAATGGGTCACTATTAAACGTGAGTTCAGGTAGACTCTTATCAGTCTTATAGAAGTATTTTAAACTTTCAGGGTAAACAGTATATAAAGTACTTGAAAAAATCACTTTCGTAAAACAAATAAATAGAATAAATCATTATTGTAGATCTAATTTAAGCAATTTTACATTTCACCAGAAATATGATTTACAATAAATGATACAATATCATTTCAATTTCACCTAAATTATCTAAATTAGATAAACGTAGAAAAGCAACTTGCTTACTTACTTACGCCTGTTACTCCTCGTGAAGGAACATAGGCCGCTCACCAGCATTCTCCATCCAACCCTGTCCAGCGCAATCCTTTCCAGATCCTTCCAGTTCCTATTCATCCTTTTTATATCTCATTCTATTCCCCGACGTAATGTGTGATCTTAACTGGTAATACTAACTTCACAAAACACTTAAGAATGATTCAGAATGATAGACATCTTTCTGACTTTGGTTAAACCTAAATTAATCATATTAACACCACTCACACACCGAAATACACGAATTTTCTAATTAGTTTCAATGGGTCACTATTAAACGTGAGTTCAGGTAGACTCTTATCAGTCTTATAGAAGTATTTTAAACTTTCAGGGTAAACAGTATATAAAGTACTTGAAAAAATCACTTTCGTAAAACAAATAAATAGAATAAATCTTTATTGTAGATCTAATTTAAGCAATTTTACATTTCATCAGAAATATGATTTACAATAAATCATACTATATCATTTCAATTTCACCTAAATTATGTAAACGTAGAAAAGTAACTTACTTACTTACGCCTGTTACTCCTCGTGAAGGAACATAGGCCGCTCACCAGCATTCTCCATCCAACCCTGTCCAGAGCAATCCTTTCCAGATCCTTCCAGTTCCTATTCATCCTTTTCATATCTGCTTCTATTATCCGACGTAATGTGTTCTTAGGCCTTTTTCTTTACCACTTCCCTTCAGGATTCCAAGTTAGGGCTTGTCTCGTGATGCAGTTTGATGATTTGCGTAATGTATGTCCTATCCATTTCCATCATCTTTTCCTAATTTCTTCTTCAGCTGGAAGTTGGTTTGTTCTCTCCCACAGAAGGCTATTGCTGATGGTATCCGGCCAATGGATGTTGAGTATCTTGCGAAGACAGCTATTTATAAATACTTGTATCTTCTTGATGGTGGTTGTTGTAGTTCTCCAAGTTTCAGCTCCATACAGTAGAACTGACTGCCTTGACGTTGGTATTGAAGATTCTCACTTTGATATTGGTTGAAAGTTGTTTTGATTTCCATATGTTCTTCAATTGTGGGAATGCGACCCTTGCTTTGCCAATCCTCCCCTTTACGTCTGCATCTGAGCCTCCTTGTTCATCGATGATGCTTCCCAGGTATGTGGAGGATTCTACATCTTCTATAGTTTCGCTATCAAGAGTGAGGACCTTGGTTTTCCCTTTGTATATGCTGAGGTCTACTGATGCAGAGACTGCTGCTACACTGGTTGTCTTTGTCTGCATTTGTTTGTGTGTATGCGATGGAAGGGCTAGGTCATCTGCGAAGTCCAAATCGTATAATTGGTTCTGAGCTGTCCATTGTATGCCGTGTTTTCCTTCAGATGTCGAGGTCCTCATAATCTAGTCGACCACCAGAATTAAAAGGAAGGGAGAGAGTAAACAGCCTAGTCTGACTCCGGTTCTTACTGGGAATGCGTCTGTCAGCTGTCCTCCATGCACGACCTTGCACTGTTGTCCGTCGTATGCGTTCCGGATAATATTGACAATCTTCTCAAGAACTCCGTAGTGTCGAAGAAGTTTCCATAACATCCTCCTATCCACACTGTCAACTGACTTTTCATAGTCAATGAACTTGATGTATGGTGACGAGTTCCACTCAACTGATTGTTTGACGATGATCCGTAATGTCGCGATTTGGTCTGTGCACAACCAGAAATACAACTGTTTATGGATTGTTATTTTTACAAATTACGGGAATTATATCAACTGATTATATTGAGTGATAGATATCTGTTTTATAGTCTTCTTTGGTTCACTGATTATCTATTTATTCTAACTAACTTTCTGGTACATGCTGTAATGAACTGTGCCTAAGAGTTGATACTAATACGCAGTCTTCTTATACATGAGCTCAACTGATTACTCAAATGAAAAGATCGAGAGCGAAGAAGGAAGTTTATCGACTAAAGAGAATTGACATATATGTATACATATCCCTTAGAAAATTAAACAAACATTGATGTATATCATTAAAGAATGAAAGCAATTTCCTGAGTAACTACATCCATTCATCATTCAGCGAATTTCTGATTAACCTTTTGTATCATCTTTCCCACTTGAAAAGTAGGCGTGGCTTCTAGGGTTCAGTTGATTTTTTTGGGATGATGGCACATCAGTACAACCATTCAACTAAGAACTGATGATTTTCGATCCGAATTTTTTTAATTTTTCAGATTTAAATTAATTGATATCGACCTAGTAGTTTTCTAATCCTTCAGAATAGTCAGTATTCATCACTGACACGTGACGAAAACTTGATCTGAACGTGAATTACACTGTTACAAGCCACGTAAATTTAAAAAAACGCTTGAGCTTTCTGCGTTTATACAATGAGCCGGTTCAATTAAGTTTGGACCAATGATGAATGAAGTATCCTGACAACATCAAGTTATTGATCAAGGTTTGGCTTCACCTTCTAAAGAAATAAAAAATGTCCATTGGTTGAAAATCTGGCCTCATTTTTTGAGTGATAAGCATTGACATTTATAACTGAATTTTGCATATAATCTTTATTTTCCTCTTTCTGTTAGTTTTCCCATTCAAGTAGCTAGTTTGGACACGTACCGTTTATCCAGTTTGATCAGTAATCAAGATATTTCTCATGGTCCACATGACACAATAATATCAGCTAAACAATCAGTGAAAATCAAAAAGCATTGGACAACCATTTTATCCGAATATAAGTCACCTCATGTATATGCTCCTTTCCCATAGTGATTTAACTCCAGGACCTTTTAGTGTCTTAGCGAGCCCGCAACCTTTAGATCACTAAACAGGTATCCTATGGTTTACATATCTAACTAATATGTAGTATGACAGAATTTACTAATCACGTGTAAGTTCATTTACTTGACTTTTAGAACTACGTCTGATCTGAAGAGTACTAATACTATTCGTCTACCTACGCCAAACTAAATAATGTATAATTCAAACATTATTACTATTATCATCATTATTATAAACTTATTTTGTCATAAAGTATATAAATAGAAATATCTGTTTTGTTTTATTAGAATAAAATTGGAAGTTGTCTATTTCAAACCAATACAACTACAAATACTTTTGGTGATCCTAAATTTCAAATTATTATTGGACAGTATACAGAGAAATTATTGCCAATATGTCAGCTTATCGTCACGAATATTGATTTTGTCGATACTGGTGAATACAAATGTAAAACTATTCATCATGATTCTGAAAGTGATACAGCTTCAGCTTATATTCTTGTTTCATGTAAGTCAGTTTTAATTTTATTTTTATAATAAATGAATGGAATATTGCAAATTTTATTATTTACAAGACTTATGAATCACAGTCCAAGTGTAAATAAATCAATGTAACTGTTATATCCTGGCAAAGATTAAATTACGACTAACTTCCAAGATTGTTATAATCTCTTTCTTACAATTATGACCCAGCTATTCCTATTGCTTAGTATTATTGGTCACCAAATCACTCGACAAGTCCCTAAATCAGAACATGGTTGAATATATATATATATATATATATATATATATATATATATATATATATATATATATATATATATATATATATATATATATATATATATATATATATCGTATAAATATTCAGTAACTAGATTATGTATATTTATATCCCTCTTACTATAAGATTCATTTTGACCCATAGATTATTATGATACGATTAATTGTTCTTAAGTTATACTCAGTATATGGATTCCAGTCTCCCACGTTCATAGCCACGTTTTAGCCTGGTCTTGTAAAAATGTTATTTCCTATTTTGTGATGCGATGAGGTCTATTTGGCTGGTATATAAACTAAGTATGTATGAAATAAATGATTCGCATAGCAGAAGCTGTTATCGATGTTCTGTACTCGACTGAACGGGCTAGGTGAGCAAAGGACCAATAAGGATGCTAGGTTGATCTGACCGGTTGAACGTCATTGGTTCATTACAGCACCTGTTACTCCTCATGAAGCTAAGGCCGTCGATCAAGATTCTTCAACCTATTCTGATCTGAATTCTCTTTTTCAGTCGTTTTCAAGTTCTATTCACTCTTTTAATGTCTGCCTATGCTCAGTCTTCCCTTGAGGATTCCAAGTTAAGGCTTGCTTTGTGATATAGTTTTATAATTTTCATAATATGTGCCTTATATACCACCAGTTTTTACAATTTAATCTTGTGTGCGGTCATATACATTATAAATCAATTTAGAATGATTTAACTTCATGAACTGATATCATGTTCTGACTGTCGAGCTGTTAGATATTTATAAGTAGTGTATATGAAACACTGGACTTAAATTTATATTACTTTTTACTCATCAGTAAAGCATGCCTTTAATCTTGAGAGGAAAGTTGTTTTTTTGTGCATTCAAATTCACATAATCCAGTTTCTTACTATGAGACGTTACCATTTAGCTATTCCCCAGAGACTAGAATATTCAGATTGATTAATCATTGAGTGGTGGCAAATGTTGTGCTTGTCTAGTTCTTTTATACTGACAGTATTCTGTAGGTCACTAAGCAATGTGAGTATTAGTCTAATTGATTTGATATCCCATGAAAAATGTTTTGATATTGAGGAATTGGAGGTAGTCATCTACATAAAAATAGGTTGTTTAAATGGTGAGTCAATATAAAACTTTACTGTTTAGTTCATGATGACCATGATTTTTTAAATACTTTTTGTTCGTTGTGCCATTTCTAGTTGGTCTAACGGTTCGTTTATCAAATTATTTTATCTGCTAGTATTAAAAACTACACTACAAATATTTCAGTGGTAATATACATAATTATTAACAAATTTATCACTTTATTATTCCATATAACTGCGAGACGTTGTGACTTTTACAAATGAGACTATGAAGACAATCTTTTCTTTTACTGAAATATGTGTTTATAAAAAACAAACTTTTGTGTGTTCTATTGAGAAGTTGTGACCAATATAGTGTAGTCCATGTCGGGTTTATGACAGTTATCCACTACAGGCAGTGGATGTAGCGTTGTGCAAGATCATGGGTTGACTCAAACTAGATATTAACACCGATGGATGCTGTTTCTATGGTCTGAAGGTTAAGTGTTCGATTCCCACGTATGGAATCGTGAGTAGACACTACCGAAGAATCCCATGCTAGGATGAAACAGCCGTCCAGTACTTCCAGGTTCCGGTGATGGTTTATCTAAAATCGTTTCGTGAGTTCATCAGTGAAAACGATAAAGTTGTTTAGGTCCTCATGGGAATTATGAATTTTCGTTTATACCAACCATTATTAGACACATTTGTGAAGCATACATGAAGTGTTTAAACATAATATGGGTCTGTCCGAAAACATTCGTGTATATTTGTTTACGGAAATTGTACGATCCAAGTGAATTTCACCAAACTGGAATTCTATCTATCGAGTGAAAATTATTATTTGTGTAGTACTTCGAAGAACTATCGTGATGCATTTTCATTGAGGGAGATTGATGGAAATCAACTTAATTTTTAAGTGTCATTTGTCACTGAATGATACCAGTCTAAATATTATGAAAAACCTGAAATCAGTGAACAGACATTTCATGCTAATGTGGGAGTGCCCAGTAGTACGAACTCAACACCCCTACATCGGAAGCTGACTGAAGTTGGAATTGCATAACTGGACAGAGGCTCAGTTGTTACTGTGACTCATAATTTGCCATTGCACCTGAAGCTTCTATGTTTGAACCCGTCTTGGGTCGTATACACACATAATTGGTGAGTTCTATATAAGGATAAATAAAGCTTTCCAATAATCACTTGTTTTCAATGGTACCTTAAAATGAGATCGATTTGTGATTTGTTCTACCTATAATAGTATATCCTCACATTTTTAACTGATTAAAAAAATTAAAGGAGTGTAATAATTCTGTCAAGTAGACAAAGACTGATTCGTTATTTGAGTACATACCTCAATATGAGCGAGAAAAAACAAAGTTGCTTTTGTTCAAGCTTTGTTATTTGATGCTGATCAGTGTAGCAAAGTAGCTAATTAACCAATGTTTAAGTTTTCTCAAACCATTAAGTTTGAACATTTGTAAATTAACGTGTCTAATTTATGCAATTCTGAAATCTATAATTTTAATAGCTCACTTCTATATTAAGTTTGTATCATTGTTGTTGTTGTTGCTTGGAAAGACAATAAAAACTTCTTGAATAAACAACTTTAATCAAAGATTCTCAATTCACTAAATTCATCCTCTTGAGTTACAAATCACCACTATCGCAAAATATACCTTCTGTCATGAACTATTATCAATTAGAGAATAACTGATAATCTAGGAGCTTTGAATATGTGTATTATTCTAGTTTAAAATCTAATACTCAGCAGTGAGTATAAACAATTATAGGTGGAATGAAGTCCGAAGTCTTTCAGTTTTCTCTGAGAGAACATGACGTCTTTGAGCCACTAGCCGTAACCCAGAGGTCTTCATTCTCATCTCGTTTTCATTGATTCTTCAGCTGATATCAGTTTCTGATGAAAATTGTATTCTAATCAAAATCTAATGTATCAAGCTCAACAGTAACTCACTTAGGAATTTTTGTTTTACATTCTAACAATACTCATATATTTGAAGTTCAATCAAGATGTTCAACAAAAGTGGTAACTTATATATTAACAAACTATCATTTATTCTCTGTTTAAATTTAGATTGATCTTAAAAATCTTAGTTTTACTATTTGTTTCCACGTTGATTCTGAATATTATTGCATGTTGAAAATAAAATCGATTTATACAAACAATTAATAAATAATATCTCCACATTTTACTCAAACTGATCAAAACGTACTAAAAACAAACGTGTACTAAGCATAATTCTACTTTATTTATGAACTTTGTATTCATTTATTACAAATTAGATCCATTCAAGAATTCTTGTATGCATTCATAATTTGTAAGATAATGTATGTTAATGTCAGTCATTAATGTTTAATGTATACATCTTATTTCTAATATATTCTTAACTATTTAACCAGATCCTATACGAAAACTTGAATTACACATAGACAATGAAACTTCTCTATCAGTTGGTCAACGTACTTATATTGAATGTCAAGCACGTGCTGGAAAACCTGCACCACAAATTCGTTTGAATTTAGGTGGACTGCCTATATCTGAAGCACGAGTTGTACAAAAAGTAGATGTTGAAGGTTAGCTAATAACAATAATGATATCAATATTAACAATGTATCTCCCCATATTATTTAAAACTAACATGTATTAATACTCTTGAATAAAAAGGTAAACTTTAATCAAACTTGTAATTAAAAGGCTTTATCGTGGTCATCTGCTATGGATGTACTGTAGTGTCGGTTATTATGTTAAGCCCATATACCTTATTCTAGCTTTCAGACAGCCCATTCTATTCATTCTACTTGAGTCACGTTCTGACCTTATTATTTATTCGCTTATCAATCTTGACTATTTTTGTGTACATTTCTTATCCCATTACTAATCACATGTCTGCAACTTTCTTTTGTGTAACTATAAATATTGATTAACGGTTGGTTAAATGGGAGTTGGTTTACCAGCCATCTCTACTGCGTGTCGTTTCTCTTCTCTCTATTACATTCACTTCATATACAAAATATATGTATTCGAAAGTCCATTCTCGTTATTTGACTTATCTAAATCCGTTATTGACTAACGCGTTTAAAGTCGATGATTATATACGAGGATAGGCAACGCATATATTTCAACAACAATCATCATTACAATCCCCTTGGAGTCAGATCTCGGGTCACTAAAGTGGAGAGCCCTTTCGACAACATCGTTCGATCTAAATAACGATTTAATAACGGGCCTCCACTAAAGTACATATGCTAACAGAACCTGATAAAATGAAGTCCATGATGTTAGCAATACGATATCACTGATTCTTACCCGTTGAAAAAGTTAATTGCTACCTCAACTCAGAAGTTCAATGAATAAAGTATTGGCATTTATAAAAAAAAGTACTCTGTTCAAGTCCTGGTATGAACATAAACATTCAGATTTATAAACATTCACCTAATAAATCCCAAATAAAATGAATAGGACGTCTCGGATCCAAATTTACAAAAAGTTGTAAAGTTTATTTCGATGAATTTTTATGCTTGTTTTATCATCAGTCAATTGCTGAGAATGACATTATTCGATACCTGAAAAACTCAAATATTTACAGTCAATAATAAATGGAAAGATGTAAATTTTATTTCTTAGAGGAATTTGTCAATCTCACTTTTTATCGTCATTTTTATAAAATTTGTTTTCGATGCAAGTACATTCATGTGACGAGTCATGAATGGGACGAAACACGTGTCCTAGATTCCACTGTTAGCTACCATACAGCTGTAATACCATCCAAATCGAGGGATAAAATTACTATAATCGCTAAAATGACTGAATTGATCATTTGATTATAGAATCTGACAAATGAAATCCCTAAGAGAATGATTTTCACATACCGTAAATATCCATTAAAAAATTATAACTGTCATTTATATACACAAAATAATCTATGAAAATTTCATAACTTTTCAGATAATAAATAACCAAGGATGAAAATAAATGTTATGAATTAATCAGTTATACTTTGCTTCCCTTCTTCGTAACAGTTGGATACTTTGAGACAGGAATAGATTTCAATAAATAGTTAGTGTATATATCCATGATCGTTTTGTAGGTTTATTCACAATGAAAAACATTTGAATATATACTACTTATGAGAAATAAGGAATTGAATTGTAAATTGACCATATAAATAAATAAAAACACATAAATACAATAAAATTAAAAATCTAGTCTACTTTAAACTGAAAATCTGTAAAAAATGAAATAATTCATTTTAACTCTACAAATTTTATTGTTCTAACTCGGTTCAAACTAATTAAGAGTTAGAATAATGAAATTTTCTAAATGTTTTGATTTATCTGATGTGTGAGCGAGAATGATAATAATTGGTTGTTTACTTAGTCAGACATGTAGATAGTCTGATAGGTGTCGAATGAGTTATATATATTCCCCTATCCTTGTTATTACTTACTCACGTATTATTGATTGTTCATTGTTATTGGATTATGTCGGGTTTTGGATGCCGGCTCAGTGGTTGTTATAACTCAAAGGGCCGCCGATTAGAGGGCAGTGACTTATGGATCGGATCAAGGGATTCAGAATCTCGATAGATTATTCTGGTTCGTTGTCCCCGACTCAGCTAACGCGATCAGGAAGTCTTGGTAAGACGTAGAAGTGTATTCTACAGGCAGTCAGCAGATACCAGGTCAGGTCAGGTCAATCAGGCACACAAGTCAAGCGTATTTATACAAATATTTATAATCGATATTGTCATGGTAAAATGTTTTTTGAAACATTATTCAATAAGTTCATCAGTCGACAGCCATTCAAATATTTAATCGATAAGTTCGTCAATTGACTTTTATTTAATCATTTAATCGATAAGTTCACCGATTGACTGCCATTCAAATATTTAAACATTTAATCGATAAGATGTAATTACAAAATATGAGTTTTGGGGATCTATCGTCCCCAACAGTGGTTTAGTTGGTTAAGCGCCTGGCGCGAGACTGATAGGCCCTGGGTTCGAATCCCGCGGGGTGTGGGATCGCGGATGCGCACTACTGAGGAGTCCCGTACTAGAACGAAACGGCCGTCCAGTGCTTCCAGGTTTTCTGTGGTAGTCTAGCTTCAATTGACTCATGATTTCAATCAGTGAAATTTTTAAAAATCTTCACAAAACAATTTCTGATTATATATATTCCCCTATCCTTATTATTATTAATCACTCACTTATTATTGATTATTCATTGTTGTTGGATTGTGTCGGTTTTTTGTGTAGAAATATATTTACGTTGTGGTCAGGCTAATCACATGTTCTCGATCTGAGTTGTATTGAAGTCCTGTAGAATAGACACCGAGAGGAAATCTAGTGTAGATGTTCATCTAAGATAAATTAACGTCCCATACGTGTAAACGTGGAAATCCAACCGTTATAACATTAGACGAAGTAAAACTGAGCGTTATAACATTATCAATACCAATCAGCTATATATATATATATATATATATATATATATATATATATATATATATATATATATGTATATATATATATATATATTCCAGTTACTATGCTGTCAGAGTACTATTATAATAATCGAAGTCTAACTAATACAATCATTGTATAATTTGTTTAATGACATGAAATAACTAAGTGAATAAAAAGTTCCCAATAATTGAAGTTTTCAATTATATAAAACATCCCAATTGTTTCGAATGACATAATTTAACAGTAAAAATCATATCTAGAAGTTACAATAAAAAAAATAATGTGCATGATAGACCTTAGAATTATTTAATCATTAATTGGATATATGCAATACAATTTATATAAGTAGACAAAACATAAAACAGTCATTTATAATTTTCTTTTTTTTTATTCATATAAATTCAATCAACTGAAATAAAAGTATTGAAGTTATTTTGATATAAACGTTTTTGTTTTCAATAAAATATATTTGCAAAGAAATTGTCAATTTCATAAGCAAAAATGGATAGTGGCTAGTAGTGGAAACCAGGACGCACGTTTCGTCTCATCAGGAGTCAGTAGCTAAGTGAAGAACGTGATGGCATTTCAAGTGAACCGTATTGGGTTCGAATCTTCGAGTGAGCATCAACTGTGAGATGCAGTTACGTTCAATTGACGAGTCCTAAATAGGACGAAACACGTGTCCAAGATTCTACTGCTAGCCACTATCCGTATTTGCTTAAAATACTTAAGAATTAAGGCTATATCGAGGTAATAGGCACAGCATGCACATATGCCAATCAATTTCTGTCCTAAAAATCAATGTTAATATTCAAATAAAACAATACCAAATGAATTTAAATAACTAATTTCATTTGTTACTGGTTAACTGCAATAGCTCATCTTGTCAAACAAAAATATCACATAAACTAGACCCACCATATGGTACTGCTCGGGAGTTATTATTGCTGTTCGTAAACCAATAAGTCTTTTGTTACTGAAATACTGAACGAGTCAGTTATAACACATGAATTCATTTCTTTTGTGTTTGTATGTGCATGTATATGTGAAATAGAATGAGTAAATAATTCTCATAGATAGCAATTTTCGTTAAGGTGATAAAATAGAACTTGAACACATTTATATAACAACTGTTCTTTCCTATTACATGACTCATTATGAACCAATAAGATTATCAAATAAACTAATTTTGTTTACTATAAATGACTTTACAGTTTAGTGGTTGTGGAGATTGTTGAGCTTTTGATTGAAATCATGACTAGCTTCGTGAGAAAATTCTCGGAGTTCTGGTGAGAAGTCGTGACCAGTGGAGCTAATCCATGTCGGGTAGAAACAGGTGTCTACCTCAATACAATAGAAGATGGTCGTGCAACTTCGTGGATTGGTTGAGGTTAGACACTATCACCACTGGATGCTGGCTCGGTGGTTCATTGGGTTTAGCGTTCGCGCGCGAGACCGAAGACTCTGAGTTCGAATTCCACGAGCGGCATCGTGGATGCGCACTGATGAGGAGTCCCACAATAGGACGAAACGACCGTCCAGTGCTTCCAGGTCTTCAATGGTGGTCTAACATCAATCGATTCATGATTTCAATAAATGACTTTTTTAAAATTCACTAAAAATACAATTGAATTGCCATGGTGATTGGATTTAATCGACTCATTAATTCAATCTCCACAATACCCTCCTTCTGAAAATAAATTAATGATTGAGTCATTAGATTGACTGGAAAATACAAAGAGTATACAAAGCTTAAAGTCGAAAACATAGTTATTAAAATATATAATTGATGAGCATACACTGTAAATAATCACAGAAGTTATGTGAAAGACGATCAGAAAATTACACTGACCCAGTAAAGTTAATAATTTTTGTAAAATTCAGATGGAAATGTAATTACAGGGGAATAAGGTTCAAAGATAGAAAAGAATGTCAAAGAAAAAAGGATGGAATAAGAATATAAATGTATGAAGAGAAATAGAGGAATGACAATAAGACTGATTGTACAAATAGATTTGGTTTCTCATTGTGTTTTGATACATTGACAAAGTAAACATGATATTCGCTCACACTCTCCGTTATCAGTTGGAGTTTTATCTCGTAAGTAAATTAGACACCGAATCTTATACCATAAATTTCTTTTTCGATGATAGATTGCAGAGCATATATTCTGATGATTTCTAAATTAGTTCATATTAAGATAAACTGTAAGGTGTTTTTTAACATTTTGTTAAATATTGTTTGACAAATAATCAATGTACTTAGTTGTACAATGATTGGAGGTCAAGTGTGGATGCAGTAAACTGACTAATTGTTGTATTGAACAAAATAGGTTCATACACTATATTCTATTCTTTAAGAATAGTAACAATAATAATAAACAAGTGGTACCAAAAACATTCAATTTTTTGGCTCGATTTGAAAGCAAGAACTACTTTCTCCACGTCTATTTGTCTTCGTATCTCTTAATGAGAGTTTTAGTTGAAAAGTAAACCAACAATAGTCCAGAAATATTCAGATTATAAGTATAATCTTTAAAAAAAATTATTTCTAATTTTATATTATAACAGGTTTAATCACTTCAACTGCAACAGCCAATATTAAATTAACAAATACACATCATTGGCAATTGTTAACTTGTCATGTTGATATGCAAGCATATCGAAATGTTAATCAAACATTCAAAGTAATTCACCTTAGCGATTATGGTATGTTTAAAAATTATTAAAATTACTATAGTTTTTAATTGGAATTTAATTAATTCAATAGAAAGACTTTACGATATATACAGAGTTGATCAGTAATTGTGAAAATACTAAATGAATCGAAGGTTACTAATTCTCAATGTTTGTCTTGACCAGTTATCAATATTCATGATTGTATTTAAACCGAGATTTAGCTTCCTTAGTAAAACAAAAATTTTCCTTTGTATAAAATCCCCCTGGTTCGAGCTCTGTCCTAGGCTGGATTCTAACAACAACAATCATCAATCTAGTCTTGATAATTTAGTCAATCTAGACTATATATATATACGTTTTTTCATATCTGAACTGATTTGAATTTAATAATAAATCCCCCAGTTTTATTAAAATTATCGACTATATACATTTATAAATTGCTTCACTTTTCTAGTAGAGTTACAGTTTGTTTCATTTCAAGGGAATTCACAATATTTGTTACGACCTAAAGTCCAGTTCATATTTATAGGTGAATTAGACATAGAAATGAATTCAATTTGATGAAGAATGGTAATTCGCCAAGTAGAACTAGACAAAATAACATTAGGTCATGCAATCGTTCACATTCGAGTAAAGTAAGAATATTAGGAATAGAAAAACACACTGTTCGGTGATGAATTATATTTCTCAGTCAAGTTAGTTAGTTTATTAATTTTGCGGATTCTATACACAAACTAGGTTATTGATTACTACCAGTTCAGCATATTCAAAATTATTGACTAACCAAAAAAATTCAAAGTGATATGTCTTATCTTTTAATTGGTGGTTGGTGAATAAGCCAGTCCTCTGTCGTCTTGTTCTCTTTATCGGGTCCACAAATCAGTCTCGTTCCGTTGCAGTAAGTAGCAGATAGAACCTACCCTTCGTTCATAGTAAATATTTTACCAGTCGCAGAAATCAGTAGTTAAACAAGTTACTAAATTGCCTTGACAAATTAGTCTTGGTTTAAGTCACTACAAAGAATAACATCTGTGGTAACATAATGTGAATTGATTTGTTTGGTGGATTCTCTTCAACTATTTACAGTTATTTATTTCAACACATAAACGTCGGTACGAGGCACCAAATATATATGCGTCACTTAAGTCATTCCATTTGTGTGAAGGCTGAGATACTGCCCGGGTGCCCAGACCGAAGTAGGTGGTTTACATAGGGGGCCCCACATGAAGCCTTCGACCTGATGGTCTGATCCACAAGGAAGTGTAGCTCATGGCAGCTGGTGACCAACAATAGGTTCATACACCATTTGTTCCCTTTCGGATCCTGTGACCCATGTGCACGATTGGTTGGGAATTAAGATTTTCCAACTCCCCTAGATGGATTCACCCCAACCACCAAGCCGGTTAAAGCACCGGACATTCACTTTTCGTCCTCCCAATTTCGTAAACAACACCCCCATTGAGAGAAGGCAGTGAGTAGGACTTCCCTGGTAGTGGTTGTATTTATGTGGTCATGTGAGAGCATTTCGAAAGGGAGAGCTGACTCTCCCCACTCTCGGTCGCATCAGGGCGTTTAAGGGCCAACTATTTACAACCTATAAATAATGGCATTATTTATTTTAAAGTGGTGTACATATTATATTAATCAGGTTGTTATAACATACCGTTTTTCCGTCTACAATAAAAGGACATTAATTTATCTTAGATGAATATCTACACCAAATACCCTTGCAGGGTCTATTCTACAGGGATTCAACACAACTCAAATCAGGAACACGTGACTAGCCTGACTAGAACGTAAGCATATATCCACTCCAAGAACCGACAGCAAAACCAGTAATAATGAGCCAGACAATATATAATTCACTTAATACCTATCAGACTATCTACTAGTCTAAGCAAATAACCAATCATTATTTTCCTCACCCACACATCAAGTTCTTGTCAATGAAGCATAATAAAAAGAGGAATAAGTATAGAATAATAAATGTTCATATAGTTGAATATTTCTGTGTAAAATAATGTGAATATTCTAAGGCTACTAAAAATTTGATGTTAAAAGTTATGTGGTAATAATCACAAAAAGGATTGATTATAAAATGATTCACTAGGGTTCCTAGTTGAGAGTACGAAAATAAATGAATTAAGCAATAGAATACAGAGTTCATGAGAATGAAACCAATCGACAACAAATTCACTGAACTGAAACTTAGAAGATCGACATGACATGATTTGTGTATCTTAGCAAAAATACAGTTTTCTTATTCGACCAATAATGTCAATCATTAATTCTCCGTTTGACAAATCTGTCCGATAGTAAAGGAAACATTTAGAATATTTTTGGTAAAAGATAGTTGTTTATAATTTGAAGAATACCTTTAAAGTAAAAGCCATCAGAATGATAGCTTTTTTGGTTTTACGGTATAAAGTATGCACTTTTCTGAAATAGCTAACACTACTATTTCTAGGTTGTGGGCAGTTGAAGATAATCTACAAAATGAACAAATTCACATTGTGTTACTGCCACTGTCCTTGCTTCATTCAAATTTCTAAATGGGAAAAATCGTATGTTTCAAAACTGAATGTTACGTTAGATGCAAATTTAGGCGGTATATGGTTAAATAATTTAGTGATGTCATTCAGTTGAGATCCCCATTCATACTTAGTACATACAAGCACAGATTAATTATAAGCATTTTCATTCAAGTCTATAATTCAGAGTTCTATACAATATTTCCTTTAACCCAGTTCTGTCAGTTCAAATTTTATGGGAGCTAATCAGTAATAGAACTCAAGCAAATCATAGCATTTACAAAAATTTATTATAGTACACCGTAAATCTCTAAAATATTTTTATCTAGATGATTTCCCTCGTTCTTATTTTTCACAGTACCAGCAGAACTCTAAAGATGAATCAAAGGTGGAGACACCAAACTAAGTAAACGCACCGCAAACCTTATAAACAATTTTATGAATACATATTTCTATTTTATAAATCTCACCTTATTGATCCTGGATCATTCATACGTGAAATTTCAAGCTTTATTATTTATCTTTTAACGACCTTCATTATTAATGAACATCAACTGAAATATGGTAGAATTTAGAATAAATTTTCCAATACAACAAAAAATTGCATTTTGTCTTTTCGACGATAACCTTCATCGTAGTTTAACATCTCAGTATGGAATAGATAGTTTTAGATCTTAGAGTAGAAAAATTACTCGGCAATGAGAAACCACATTCCAAATTTAGCCGCTTTAGGAGTATAAATTGATTATTATCGAATGCTAACCAATAGCTGTTTTGCACAAAATCCCATTCCCCGATAAGAACTCTGAGAATCCACATACTAAATAGTTATCAATTAGTGAATAGGCTCTGTTAAGTCAATTGTTGATTTCTTCATTTCCATGTTTTTCATGCGATGTAAACTACCTAACGATAATGAGCAATCTGAGATGTGTCTAATCACTTTAACGGTACGCAGAAGTAGTCATATTTCGATACAAAATTGTGTATAGGGAGTGCAAAACTCTAGGTAAGAACGAAACTGGGATCTGAAAATTTTCAAGTGATAGTGATGTAAAATATCTAGTGAAAAATGGATTAGTTATTAACCAAATGAGAAACCGCAGTCTCACATAATAGTAGACTGACGAATTGATCAAAAACAATAACGAGTACTCTGGAGATAAACTACTCTTCGGAATGATGAATTCATGTGCTCTCATCACAACACCACTTATCTGGCGATTTCTTACACTTGATTATGAAGAACTTCACTTGGATTTCGAGTCAGCGTTCAGCTGTCTGTGGCCACTGAAAATGTGACTATCCACTAAGTGTGAACTGACAAATACATCTTACTATTTTACTTCATCTTTAAACCCACTAAATGCTAACTGCTTGCAATCCCATTGAACTAAGTACTGCTCAGACTATTCCCTAGATCTCTGTTATAGTCGTGAATTGCATAGCCAGTATAACACGACCCGGACTGTATATGGAACCTATTGAGTATCCAGCCTAAATTTTAATCACCGTTCAAATTATCGTACAGTAGTATTATACTGTGGCAACAAGATACAATTTTTATCATCCAGCTATATCCGCATCCCTAGCTTTCTCCCAACTTCTACACATCACTGCCCGTTGAGATAATCGGTGGACCATCTCAATCGATAAAGCCCCTCTAATCTGTCAAACGACTTGCTCATAAAAATGGGGAAGGCGGACAACTCCAATGGTCATCACTCATAGTCATCAATTCCGATGACAATTAGATATAAGCTGACTCGATTGGCAATGTTAGAGAGACTGTACAACGTTAATTTATTATTTGGCAGACCTTTCTACGACAGCTGGTCTATGGAGTCGACTGCAGACTTAAGATTGAGAAACATGGATGGTTGGGAGTCGGTAGGCATGTATGTTTTAGGGTATTGTGAAGGGTGAATATTTGGTCTATATATCCATACCCAGACCTGAAACTAGCCTAGTTTTCCCAGACCTAGTTAAGCGTTGGATGATTATTAAGGGTAATTCTTTAGACATCATATTAATCAAACTGATATGTTGTGTAAAATGAATTGTTATTATGAACCATGGAACGAATAATCATAAGTAAAATGAACATGGAAGAGCGAATCCTAGGTTTTTGGTCCTAAGTAATGGGTCAAAGATATAAATAGAAAAGTTAGGACGACTTTATCATTGCCACCAAAATATTAACAACATAGCGGTGCATGAAAACAAAGGTTCAAACCCCAAAACAATGAAGCTAGTCAGTGGAAAAGAAGTCAACAAGAAACACATTTTATAGATTACATAGAACGGAATATTGATGTAACAAATATATAAATGAATTCAAAATAATCACAAATAAGTAAAACGGAGTAAAGATGGATCTAACTTGGAAACACTTAAATACAGTTAAAACCACTTTGTAAAAGTAAGTTATACGACTAAAAATTAGTAACGGACACCCCAATGAGGTCTAATTGATGGTCTTTGATTAGGTTGCACAAACCGATCGTTTGTAAACTGTTGTTGTTGATATGGATACCCACCAAAAGTTGGTGCGCCATATGAATTCCATGATGATCCATTAAAATTATTTCCTACACCACTAGGACCAAACGATCTTGCACCCATGTAGTTCCCAGAAAATCGGTTGACAGGTACTTGATCATATCGCGGATTTGAAAATTGTGGCTGAGGGTCTTGCCAAAGACCACATTGAATATCATGCACCTGTTCTGAGTCAGTAGAACGATTAGGACAGTTAGTATAGCGTCCAAAACCTTGTTTTTCCGAGTATGAATTTTCATACCCTTTATTTCGATGCGACCGACCCGAGAGTAACGGACAATTACCGGATGTAGCGAACCGTTTTCTCGGCGGAGAATCGAAGTTATTTGCCTCATCAAAACTAGCATTTGGTTTTAATGCTTCTGGCGAACATAGTTGACGCAACACATTAATAACATGCTGATCTTCTTCTCGAAGATCGGCAACACCTTCTGGTCGTAAGCAAGTACGGACAAGTAATGCCTCCAATGCTGGACGAAAAGCGAAAATTCGGGCAGCAGTCATGAAGCTCATACGGAAAGGAATCCAATCATCAATAACAACTATTCCTTTATCATTAGAATCATCAGATTTCCAGATAGCAGAGCGGCAGCCAAAAAGCATTAACTGAATTGGATTCACCATTGTAAGACCTTTACACGAAACGGCCTGAGTACGAATCTAAAGTATGAAAACATATAACACTTTCATCATAACATCGTCATGCAACTTTATAATAAGTAGACAAATGTTTACTTCTGTACATAAAAACACAGCAGTTCTTCAAAAGTATAATTCTTAATAGAGTAAATAAATAACGAACGATTTTTCGTTATCTTAATATATAATTATTTCATTAAAAACCTGTTGAATTATTTTTTAACATTTGAGAACACTTACTTTTTCATCGAAAACAAAAAATGGATGAGTGAACTTGATGTCCTTCATGCAATTGACAGAACTTTTGTGTATAAGTGCTAAAGTACCTTCAGTTGTTAGTAATTTGCGTTTATCTGAATGAAAACAGATATTTGGATACAATCCAGACACAAGTAAAGTACTAAGTATATCGCAATCGATATTGTGTTTCAAATTAAAATTAACCGGTGCATCCGACAGTGACTCTTCTGGGAAACCCAAGTTAATAAGAATAGCTCTAAGCTAAAAAAAACGATAGAAATAAAATAACATCAAATGTCATGAAGTCATGCACATAACAGAGTACATAAAACAATCTGAAGAATGAATAACAGTACTAATTAGTTTACAAAGCATCGATAAATGCAGAACAAAAATTAACTATTATATAAAGTTTTATGCACCTTATCTAGGAGCTATTAAAGACATAATATGGTTGGAATCAGATGACACTTACCAAGAAAGTTTGAAATTTATCATAACCAATCGAGATTAGAAATCAAACAATAAAATCAGTCAACTTGATAAAAATCGTCAAAACAAACCAAGTTATGTGAAAACAATTGCAGTAAAAAAAGCTATGATGCGATACGGGTTAAATAATCATTGACTTTGTAAACGATTGGGATACACCAAGTAGGCTTAACCTTAATTATGTCAAAATTCCACGGATCTATCTTACTGACACACAATTGATCGAATACTTAATAGTAGTAACAATAAGACCTTGTGTTCGGCATCCTGTGGGATCGCAATTGTATAGTACTATCCGAAGCTAGGATAGAACAGGTTTTCAGTGCTCTTTGATTTTTAGCAGTTTTTCAACTTATGTTCAATCACAATGGAGACTTTACGGAGGCGAAAGGAAAACGCTAACATCCTTACAACGGAAATATAAAACAATGGATTACAAGTTGTTTACATTCATTGTTAATTTTCATTTCTATTACGCTTTGAACAGCCTGAGAGTATCAAAACGAAACTCATAATGCTGAATTAGCAATAAGGTGGGTGAAAATTCCAATCACGCAGTTATTTATTAAAACTGGTTATGTAGGTAGCATAGACTGTCAACCAAGTTGGAATTTTTATTGCGCTTATTTAGTAATAGATTAAATACAAACAAATGAATAGACAGCCGCTTCTTGGTGGCCTAGTTGTTTATTGCAATTTTTCTGTGAGAAAGAATACATTATTGCATATCATTAGTTTTAGCTAAAACCAAACAAGTATCCAATCAGATTTTACCTTAAATAAACACATTACTCTGACTCAATTTGATCATGATGCAGGCTTTTGTTTCTGGCCTACAGTTATCGAAGAAGACCAGAGTGTTAGTGTAAGTTCCACAATGAGCTACTATCAAAATTAACACAACTAAGAGATCCATTTGTAACTGTTTCACTGATGAGTATGCAGTTTCTCATTGTATAGTTTCTTTTATTTAGGTCAGTTACTACTTGTAAACTGACTGTTCTCTTATTGGTTGATAGATTCATTATGTTTGATTTATTGAACTAGTTTTTTTTCACTTTTCTGCACTGAGTTGACTGTTGTTATTGAGTTTTTCAGCTTGAATATGAGGTTGTAACCTAAGTAAACTATTATTTACTGTAGAACCACTCATTGATTCATGTACAAATATTACGCGAAGTTAAGTCTTCTGACTTGAACCGACATCAGGTGAGTAATTCCGGTGATCACGTTTACAGTGTACAATAATAAACCATATTTCATGAAGCTAAAAAATCTGTCAATGAGAAACAATGATATATAAATTGCTGCTGGGAATCGTAAAAACAGATGGCATGTGTTTTAATAAACAATATACAAGACTGTTTAGGCTTTAATGAAGATATATTTCGGAATCTGTACTAAAAGCTAACTTAAAAATGGAAAATCTAAGGGCAAAATCTTACAGAACTATAATTACAGTTGCCAATTTGCTTTATAGGTAAAACATCTATTGGAGATTTCTATAATATGATTATAGATTTAAAGTGACTTCCATACAGGTTAAGTTTATTAGTCACTACGATTTTAATAATTGAAGGCTTTGTGGTTAAATCACTTGGCTTTCAAACAATTTATCATGTGTTTGAACCCCATCAGAGTGGTATTATCAGTAGTATTACTAGTCATATATATATATATATAGAAAAAGTCAAATTTATACAAAAATTACTTCACAAGACCATAAAGAAGCAAGGAAGAAAACGAAGAGAAATACTAGGTATGCATACTTGGTTTGCAGCATCATCAATAACTCTTAACGCAGAGCTATTGAAACCATGTTGATCACAAAATAAATCTGCTGACTCATCACCTCGACGAGTACGTTCAGTCGTCCACTCTTGAAAAACATTCAAACCAGCCAAATGATCACTTGAATAGCCGGCTGCAAATGACCGTTGCTGATTTGTGAGTCTCCTATGATCCGGAGGCAATAAAAATGGATCACATCCCAGGCTTGCAGTAGATGTTAGAACAGCAGCTGCTCCACCCAGATTAAAGACACAAGCAAATATTAACATTTTCCCCAAACGTGGCTCGATTGGAAGTCGAGCAAGAATAAATCCCAGAGGAGTTAGTTCATCATTTTTATCCAACGCCTTCATCTCTGATTGTTATTAGAGAAAAAATGTAACATTTATTTTCAGAAAAAATCAGCTTTAACAAACGATATACAATTACCAGGATATTAAGTTCAATAACTGTTTTACTATATGTGATCTGGGCAGTTGGACAGTATCAGTAACATAACTATGATCTCCAAACTTCACAATTATTACTTCTGTTTTCGTTATTATGACTAGAAATTGCCCAAAACGTATATTTTTAACTTAGCCACTACACATCAAAGTTATTTACATTGGAAAAAGAAGGGTTTGAAAACATTTACCGGTGGCTAAAAACGGTCATGTACAAAGTAGTAGAAGTCAAAACTACTCAGTATGAGTACATGTTCATCTTATGAAAAATCTCAACGAAGATAACAGGCAGGTGATTTGAAACTTCCATATATTTGTCATATCAATAAGCCCTTTGTTAGCGGGACGTAGACTGCATTAAAGCATGCTCAATGTACGATTGCTTTGATGCACGCTGATTGGCTAATTCTTATCCAGTAAGCGTTAGCCAGTACTTAGTGAACACTCTAGAAATCTTCTCATGTGAAAAACTATAAATATGCTAACGTTTTCCCTATTGTGCTTCTTGCTTCCATCTAACCTTGTTATTTGGAATATAATCTCTTTCCTGTACAACCGTGTTTTGATTTGGGGACTTGTCGAGTGATTTGGTGTTCAAGAATACTAAGCAATAGGAATAGCCGGGTTATAACCGTAAGAGAGAAATATAACACCCTTTAATGGAGAAAATAAATCCCCTTTATTGACATATCATTAGATTTGAAACATTTCACAATCAGTCAGTAAACTACAGTGAAAATATCACTTAAGAATTCATTGGATTTTATGTTTAATATACTAAACAATCTTCGAATACTTTGCATTTAGTTTGCTAAATTTTACAAACATTATATGATGTATGACAACAAATTACAAAAATAATCACAATAAAATAAATATACAACTCAGTAACATAGTTTACCTTTTAATGTATGTTCTGCTTCAATAACTGCGTCGAGTGGTGGTGGTTGTAAAGCCTTCATTAAAAAGTCTCTAACAGAACCAAGACGCAAAAGCTTTATGAGTAATGCCAGTTCGTGTAACGGAGTACGCAGAATTTCTGGAGTAGCATGCTGTTCTAAACGATCAAAGCGAGCACGACTAAAAATGAAAGCAACGTTACAATTAAATTACAAAGTTAACTAACAAAAATGTTTGAGCAAACAAATTTTCGATAAACAATATTAACCGCATTGTCTTCCATGAAAAACGCAGTATATGCCAGTCCTATATAAACGCATTGAATGAACTAATCATTAAATTAAGCTTAAGGATAAGGAAAGCACCTTACTTACCTACAAAGATGAAAAGCGAATCCTGGACGAACTCGACCAGCTCTGCCTCGCCGTTGTTCCAGGTTTGTTTTGCTTGCCCATGAAGTAGAATATGACGTCAGATTGTTACGAGCAGTGAAAAGCTTCGTGCGTGATAAGCAGAAATCTATCACAAAGACAACATCATTGATTGTGATAGATGATTCAGCTATGTTAGTTGCCAACACAATTTTTCTAACACCAGAAGGAGTGGAACGAAAAACTAGGCGTTGGTCTTCTCTAGGAATCTGAGAATGTAGAGGCAGAATAACATAGTTGGGACTTCCATATCTCGAATGAGACTGTAAATATTTTCGCAAAAGACTAATGATATTCCAACCAGGAAGGAAGATAAGGACAGCGCCGGGAATATTCATACCTATGATCTTATCCAAAAGCGCACCCACAAGTTCAAAAGGAACCTCCTTTTCGATAATTTCGCCCATGGAACGAACCACCGCCTCCCCGTAAATAGGATCACACTTCAAGTTGCAATTTTCTTCAGCGTAATCTGTCGCATTTTCTAACTCTTGGCGGTGCTTCCGTTTTTTCTCATCAGCGGGTGGAGGGACGAAGTTAACCATCTTTACACAGTCTTCTAGAAAGTAATCTGATAGTGAAAATATAAACAACCTGTATATAACACAGTACTATGTGGAGAAAATGATTACAATAGAAAGCTGTGTAACGAAATATAAGATATATCAATGCTAAAACATGTAGGTATTTTTAGTCAAGATATATATATATATATATATATATATATATATATATATATATATATATATATATATATATATATAAGTTCTCCTTTCATCTTCAACAACTCTGTGCAATGCAGAACTGCGTCGCTAGGACTTCTAAACCACTTTACAATACCTTTTGGCAACAAATTGAAAACGTTCACACCAAAAAACCAATGTGATTACCTCCATCATTAACCCATGGGCAATGGGAAATTATTGGGTGATATTTAACTTCAGAAGAGAAAAGTTGACACTCAGAATGATCGCAGAACTTTCATTCTTTCACTTGAGTAGTTGATTAACCATCTACAGACAGATCAAGTTTCACTCAAGTAGTCTACCCGAAAATATATTTAACGATAACAATTACCAAAGACGATCGCAGCCCTTTTGGCTAGGAGTAAGCTTATAAGTAATTCCACGCAACTTAAGATAAAGCTACAACTTACCTCAAAGAGAACGCAACTTTTTTATTGCTGTAGTTTCCATGATCATTTGTTCCTTTAAATTTTAGTTTGTGACTGTTTTGGGGATGCTAGATCCTCAGAAATCCCTTCGTAAACGTTTTATTTTTGTGATTTTATTTTGAAAGTTCGAAATTCTCATTTTCCCGCCAAAGGCGCTCATTTTTACCTTCAGATTGTATTTTCCACTTGGAAGGACCTTAAATGTCATTGGTTCGTTTCCTCTCCTAATAGACCATTTTGGGGTCGTTTCCCAAGGGCATTTTATACTGTGCATATACGCTTGAGTTGCATGCTTGTTGGTTATGTACTACTGACTGCTTGTTGAATATACCTTTCCCTGATTCTGGTCCTCTTCCTCTAGTTAGTAAGGCTGGGGGTCAGTGAATAGTTTGGCTTTTCTGTTGTCGTGTTGCTGACTTTCGTTTCGTTCGCCGGTTAAATGAATCGTAATCTTTTCAAGAGTAACAAACTGAGGTTAAATAAACAATACCAAGTTTCAAATTACTGCAATAGATTTTTTAAAAATAAAACAGAAATACGCATTTACTTACACTCAACAGGGTGTGTACGACCCTCGATGTCCAAAACCATACAATCGCCAAAGTATTCGCTGAACATAGTTATATCAATGGTAGCAGACATAAGAACAAGTCGGAGATTTCTGTTTGCTCTTATCATTTCGCGCAGTAATATGAGCATGAAATCTGTATTAACGTCTCTCTCATGTATTTCATCAACAATAACATGAGACACTCCTCGAAGACCTCCTTCCATTTTGCGTGCCATTGTCCCAACAGTGCAAAACAAGATAGACCCGTACGGACGAGGATAAACGGTCTCAAAACGAACACAATATCCAACAGATGTTCCCACGGTTTCGCCTCTCTCATAAGCAATGCGTTCGGCAAGGCTTATAGCAGATATACGTCGTGGTTGTGTTACCAGAATCGAACATTCAGCGCCTATTCCCGATTCCAAATACGAGTCCAAAATGAACTGAGGAATCTAAAATTACAAATAGGCATATAAATAAAAAGAACAAACATGTTCACGTTTACCACATATGTACTGTAAACATGCAACGAATTTACATAAGATCAAACAAACCTGAGTGGTCTTGCCACATCCGGTTTCGCCACGAATAATTGTCACTTTATTCCGTCTAACGGCTTCTAGTATTGAAGCCCTGTAAGGATTCACGGGTAACTGAGCACGCTCATCCATTAATGACCGCAACTGAGGGTCGCTATCAAGTCGACGTAACCGTTCGTCAGCCAAGTTAGCGCTAATATGAGGTAATGGTTGAGTAGCCTTAAGATAAAAAGACAAATGGTATATTTAGAGATGAAACTAAATAGCAAAAATGTGAGTCAGCCAAAAGATATAAATAATACACATGGGTAATTTTTTTACATTTTAATTCACTACGTAAAAAAAGTAAAACAATGTCACTACAGTTTGCGATTCTTAACTGTATGACAATGCTAATTTATGTGTATTATTTAGTGCGGAATCTATCATAGGTGATTTTCTACAAACAATTTATAAACAGATAAATTGCTTGATTTACGTTTATATCGAGATTTTTTAAATGACACCTTCAAGTATATCAACACTTTTTAGCCATGAAATCTGACAGAAAAATAATATAATTTACAAACTAAAATTTCAATTAAATACATAAACCATACATCATATTATGAAACAAATTTAAATTCCAATAAATTAAATAGCCAGTAACTTGTGAGATATATATAGTTTACTTATTAGGAAAGTAAAAATAATTAACTGAATTCCCAACGAACTAAGGAGGACTGATAAAAAGACTAAATATCAATAAATACTTAGCGGAAGCTAGAATCATTGCACATATAAATCTTATTTAGTAACTTAGAACACGTAGTAGGAATTTTATTCAACTCATTCTTCTCACAGCTGGAACTACATCAAGTCTAGGATTATTCATTCCAAGCTGTTAAGCTATTGAAGGGCGTGTAAAGGTGTTTAAACATTCGACTCTCAATAATCAGATTTCAAGTTCCAGCTTCGCTCCACATATTCCATTCAAGAAAATCAATGAATGCTATCTAACTTCGCGATAAGTTTAGCACTCAGTGTATTAAATATACTTGCGAGGTTATCGGGTTTAAGTAATAGTAGGTACCACCTTCACATTACTAGACTAAAAATTACGTTGATCCATGGATAGTGTGCTGTATCAATGAATTAAATTCAAGATGGCGGCTCTGGAATCTTCGCGCAAAATTTAAAACTTGATGACGGACAGCTTGTGACTTATTTAGAGCCAAGTAAAACCTACTAATAATTAGTTGATAAGATTGATAAACACTCCAAGACCAAAGAGTAAAGACGAACTTGAGCGAATTTTAGTGACTTTGGGAGAGTGATTAGTTTACCACGGGAAAAGTAATAATAGAAAACAAATAAAACTAAGATGTGGATAATATCGTACAGTGATTAACAAATTCCCAAAGTGATCTGAAGATACTTGAAACTGGAAATCAAAAAGCTGATTGAATAAGCATTCGTACATATGAATACAAAACATTCGCCCACCTTAATTTGGTTTTTGCAATTATTCATTCATACCATGCACATGATTGACCCACAGTGGAATTTGCGTTTACAAGGTCATTTTAAGTCGTTGAAGGACACTAATTATATTTTACAAATCCATGAGAAGAATGATGCTTTTCAATTGAGTCGATTTGGACGACCTACTGATAACCGGTTGGTTTCTTAATGTTATACTGATAAACATAATGCTAACAAGCGTAAATTATATTATTTTCAGTATAACCAATAATCGCTTATGAAAACCTACCTCTGGACCTTCATCGATATTGCAAGCAGTCCATGGATTCCAGTTAGGGAGTGGTGGACACCAAGCGACCAATTGGGGTTGTTGTTTAGGAGCATCACCAAAGTCTACCAAGTTGTAATTGGTAATCATATTATAAGCTTGATCTGGTGGGAGACTTGTAGGTTTCAAATTAACGGGAAGACCCAAATTTTCCAATACATCGGTTAAATTTTCTTCAACTTTTGAATTCAAATTGACATCATGCACTGCAACCTTAATACATATATAAACAGCTAAATGTATTGTTTCATTGTTGAATCACGGAAAACGCAAAACAGGAAAAGTGCCATCAATGGTTTATCTCCATTAAATAATTAATTACAACTGTGTAACATGAATCGAAGACGAAATAAAGTTTATGAGAACTAGGATTGAAGAAATTAGATTTCTGGACTGTTATGATCTCTCATTACGACCCAGCTACTCTTATTGCTTAGTATTCTTCGGACACTACTTCGCTCTGAATCAGAACACAGTTGAACAGGAACGTAATTATATTCCAAATGAACAAGGTTGGATGCGAGTAAAAACTTTAGTACATTTGAAATTCTAGTCTTCTCTAATTAGCCGTTCGTGCTGATTGGTTAAGAAATGACCAATCAGCGTGCTCCAACACACTCCTACAAGCAACATGCTTCGATTGAATCTATATCCCGCCAACAGGAATGTTTAGCTAGATTTAGATTCGGATTTTTTGACGAACTTGTTTGTTTTCACTGTGTTTTGTTACATATATAACTCTACCATCTATTGGTTTTTTTAATTGAGACTATTGACGCAATCTGGGATTGCAACAATATTCTAAATGAGACTACGTAACATGAGAAATGGAATCTGTATATTACTTTACAAATCAAGTACAACACTCGAAAACCAAGTACTACATGAATCAAATCAGAGATTAAAAATCTAGTTTTCAGAAGTAAATAATTTCATAGCCTTTGATTGAGTGGTAAACTATGACAGAGCAATAATTGCAATTAGTAGTCGAACACGTTGGGTGACTTAGTTCAAAATCAATCAGCGACACTGACGCATATACTCATTATCTTCGTGTCTTGAGTATCAATAATATTTCATAATTTTTACTCATCCAATTCATTCATTTTTTGTATCATATTCTTCAATGTCTAGTCGTTCTCATTATCACTGACACTAATAGTTTCAATTATTTTATATTATTAATCTGACTTAGCCTCATAACTAGAGAACTGTGAAAATTAAAGACTATTAAGAAGATAGCCTGCTAACATGACTTTCATAAAAATAAACATCTTGGATAGGAATTCATCCTGGTGTATAACAGTAAACATAAAACAGCTTTGCGTGAACTTACCTCACTGTGCTTCTTTTTTCGTCTTTCGCCAGTATATGCTTCCAATTCGCCTGCATGAAAGAGCTGCCGGACCAATGATAGGCAACAAGCACGAGATGCTAGTTGTTTGTTTGATCCCGCCTCCCGAGCGTACAGGGTTTTCCGAAGATTTTTCGCCAAGACAGTCATCTCCGCTATGTAACTCCTGTAAGCATTTTAAACAGTTGATTCAAAGTAATGCGTTTATTTGGACATTTTAAAAGAAACTTTATACTAATTTGGAGTAACTAATTTAGCATAATTAGGTGAATTATCCTGTAGCAAAAAGAACTTACCTACTACGACTGAACTTGCAGTTGAACGATGATTACGAAGGCCAAGAATACAAGCTGTAAACAAATGAATGTATCATGTTATTAGCACTCAGAGCCAACTGATCGCCAAGACCACTCAATTCGTTAAAATATAAGCGAAATTGAGTGGAGAAGCGATCAGGGCACTGAATGCTCCTTATGTCACCCAGCGTTCCTGTCCGCCTGGCCACTATATATAAATATATGATGTCACAAAAGTCATAACTGCGAGCTAATATATCGACTTAATACATTTAAACAAATAGCACCATTTGGCGCTGTCTCACCTGCTATGATCCGGACCGACTGAAGTATATTTCACTTGGCCCACTTGCTGGCGAGTTGCCTGTAAGTATTCATTTAGACGTGCCTTGGCGTTTTCCATAGACCAACCACCATGCAAATCAGAAGTTAAATCCACCTCTTCTGCCTTAATACAAAGAATATGAAGTTATACAAACACTACCTCTTCCAACTTCTTTTGGTCGTATATGCTACTGATGTAGCTACCACCAGAACCTAACGAATTCCCTTGTTGTTGAGAACTTTGCCCAAAGTTTTCAGATGTAGATGTGCTTGTAGATTCCGGATATACGACATTCCCAGGCTGTTAATTTAGACACAAACATGCAACATACTTGTATCGTTGGAACGGAAGATGCAGGGACTTCACCTTCGCGAACAAGGTAGTTAACAAAGTCTCTAGCTGCATTCGTTTGAGCTTCTTTTTTTGTTGTAGAATTTCCTATTCCAACGTAATTGTAGCCATCAGCCCGAGCCTATAACTAGGTCCAGGGAGAGAACTGTACTTACCTCACAAAGAAACCTAACCTTATTCCGACCGACGGGCTTCTCAATGAAAGTATACTCTGGTGCTATGCGTTTCTTAGTTTGCAAGAAAGTGTACAGAAATGATTTAATCCCCTCAGGATCACACATGGACGATAATTATTGAGATCTGAAAAATGAGAAGCATATTTTCATGTAAAAAAATTCACGGAAAACAAGAATGCAACTTAAGTTCAATATTTGGAGAAAAAAGTCCTAGAACAATTACAAATATAAACCTGTTAACATATGATACAATACCATGGCATGCAGCTAGCGAAACAAAATAAACGGTAATGTTTCAATGGTCTCGCAAAATGAGTGTATATTGGAACACTTTGAGTCTCTTCGTCTACACAATAAAAATGAGCAGGAACGCCTTACAATGGGAACAAAGTAACTTTACTAAACACTTAGTAGATGCGTGGTGGGAATTTCAAGTACCAAGTTAGAAGACAGTAGTCTCATGGCGAATTCAGGTTGGTGTGCAAATGTGTACAATCAGTGGTGAGCCCTACAACATTTATATGTAAAAGGTACTTTCTGTGTTTATGAAACTCGTTCTGAGCAATTATGGACTTGGTACGAGTATAAAGATACATTTTCAAATGTCTTACATGGAAAAAAGAAACAGATGTTCAGTCATGGGTAATTAATAGTTTCAATTATACTGTCCTTTGTGAAGAAATATCTATTTATTTAGACACAAACATTAGTACAAAGAGGCGCCAAATATATATGCGCCACATAAATCATTCGGTTTGTGTGGGGGCTCGAATACTACAGAAGTGCTCAAACTGAGACAAGTAGTTTTCTTAGGGGCCAGTCCCCGAGTCTTTGACCTAAATGTCCAACCAACAAGGCAGCGAAGCAATGTTAGGAGATGCAGTCTCATGGTAGCCGGTGAACAACTATAGATTCACGTCATTTGTCCCCTCTGGATCCTGGAGCCCATGTGCAAAAGTTGATTCGGAATTATGGTTCTCCAACTCCCCTAGATTTATACCCCGTACCAACCAACCCGGTTAAAGCGTCGGACATTCGCTTTCATTTTTTCGTTCCACCGCAAGAAGGCCGAGTAGGACTTCCTAGGTTGTGAGGATACTTCGAGAGGGAGACGAACTCCACCCACTCCCAGCCGTACCAGGACATTTTGAGACTGGGGAATTACGAATGTAAATATGCTAAAATAAGATCGAAAAGATCAAAAACACAAGATAATAGTGCACGGTCACTTGTTTAGCCCTTTTATTGTTCGGTTTGAAAATTACCATCGAGTGCGCTAAGTAGATCTCGTCACATGAACACATATCGGTTGAATTAAAGAATATTAACTTGGATGGTTTCTAAATCAATTTTAGAAACTAAAACTAATATGTAGCTAATCAGAAAAAAGATTTTACTAAAAAATGACCTATAATACAAAACGGAGAAATTGTTTATGGCTTTTGAAAAATTATTGAAATAATCCATGCTCTGAAAAAGTTTGTGTTAGGATCGAAGAATATTCGGTTCTTTGGCAAGCCATGAATGGCTAAACGTCTGGCTTTAAATTGTAAATCAAGGTACTGCAACATAACACCAAGCTAGTATAAAGACTAAGAGTTATTTTCGAAATCGGATTCTGGATAAGGGTAAATATATATTTATTTTGTATCCTAATTCTAATGAGGAATTGTAGTGCCTCTTGACAAAACTAAGCATATTTAATCCTAACTACAAATAAAAGAGTACTGCACCGTGTCGTGACAACCTGGTATTGCCACTAGTATTTCGTATAAGTCGGTAGTCACTATCGTTAATTTGATTAAATTGGTAGCAGTTCAGTTGAATCCAAATACTACACGAACAGAGAGTAACATTTCTCACCATCAGCTGGTTTCAGCATGTATTCTAAATTATCAAAGACCAAGGAATTTAAACACACAACTATTGAGTCGGATGGATTTCGACGAAACGTCAAATTGGCACTTTCATGAATCGCTTATCAAACACATTTGGAGTTTTGAACTGGTACTCTACGCTAATGTGAAACACCACAGTACGAAACAGTGGAGTTATTCAGCTACAGTGTAAGACCAGACACACATATGCATCGATTCAAGTTGCCACACCTCATTAACACGGCGAGATGAACACCGGATTCATAGGAGCAGTTAATTCAATGGTGGTAATATATAAAAGAAAGATTTTGTATAAGGATATAGTACAGGAAGAGAAAATTAGTTCGTAAGAATAACCTCATAGTTTAAGGGAAGAGTGTATACAAAGACGCCGTTGTGATCGATTCTAAGTCATGTCACAGTCTCCAAACATTGGTTACGATAGTCACGCGGACCCCAACCAAGTAGTCTACATCTACCAACATGGCTAGGACTACAAGTTAGTGATGCTGATGCCGCGTTTTGGTTTGACCGCCTCTAACTTTCTTCCAACCACCCCCAGTGGGAAACACTCATGGTACGTTTAGTGATAATCATAATAATGAATGGCCGAATGGCGTACCTTTTTATTTATTTATTTCAATACATAAATACTGGTACAATGGGGTAACAAATACATATGCACCACACAAATTTCGTTTGATTTGTGTGAGGGCTGTGATACTACCCGGGTGCCCAAACCGAAGCAGGTGGTTTTCTTAGGGGAACACACCCGGAACCTTCGACCTAAAGGTCCGGTCCACAAGACTATGGAGCATCGTAAGGAGACGCAGTCCCATGGTAGCCGGTGACCAACGATTGGTTCATATGCCATTTGTTCCCTCGGGGTACTAGAGCCCTTGTGCACCATTGGTTTGAAATCAGGATTTTCCAACTCCCCTAGGTGGACTCCCCGTATCCACCGACCCGGTTAAAGCACTGAACATCCGCTTTCCGTCCTCTCAATTCTGTAAACAACAACCCGCCACGAGAAGGCAGTGAGTAGGACTTCCTGGCAGAGGCTACATACGTGTGGCCATGTGAGAGCATTTTGAGTGGGAGAGCAGACTCTCTCCACTCTCCACCGTACCACGGTATTCGGGGGATGAAAGGGATCCCCTTATCGAGAAAGGATAAACAACTGAACCACTAAGACATTGGTTGCAGATCAGTAGAAAGTTTAGCTAGACTATTTATGAACGAACCAATGAAACTAAGAATAGCAACTTTGTTATTTTCTCGCGAGGTTTATTCATTCATATGGTTAAATGGCATTTTTCTACTATATGTGATGTCAGATAGTGGTAAGAACGCTTACCCTAATTTCTAGCCTTAAAATCAAACTTCAAATTTCGATACTAATTATTTTACTACTACTTAGGTTTTACTTTTAATTTCGTCCTGTATGAAATCTAGTATATTTGTGACAAACCAACATAAATTGATTTTATTGGGTTCACTTTTGTGTTAAGGTATAATTTCAGGACCTTCGCGGCATCAGATGATGGTGGCATTGACACTAGTAAATAGGATGGTTATTTAAAGGTTTTGGTTCGGATAAGTGAGTGCAGCTGTCCCATGGGAGTGGAACTGCTGTAAACAGTACTATTATGTTGAACGGTAGTTAAATCAGTTAGAATAAGAGTAGAGAGAAATCAAAGGTTCAGCATAAACATACTCATTACTTAGACGATTAAACAGTAAAGACAACGCAAAACTTGGGGAAAAACTTCAGTGTTATAAGATTCTGGGGAAATATTGAGGGAAACCTCAAATTTCCTCAAACATTTTGGGGATTCCCTCAGACATAGGGAAATTTCGGGCTTTTAGTGCCGTTTCCCAAGGTTTTCTGTGGCCGTTTTCCCAGAATAGAGAGATTGAGGCGAGAAGAGCCACAAACATAATGACCCGATCTCCCAAGTTTGGAGAAATTTCGGGGAAATCCCCAAAGTCAAATGACCACCAAGGTCGAAGGGGAATTCGGGGGAAATATTGGGGAATTCCCCCAGACCTGGTGGAATTTTTGGGTTTTGGTGCCATTTCTCCAAAGCTTACTATAGCGGCTCCCCCAAAATTAGGAGTTCGGGGAGCCAATAACGAATTTGCGGAATAAGAAACAGATGCATAAACACAGATACATGGAAGTAGCGAAAAAGCAGAGACACTGAGAGGCGAGGTATACTTTATTACTAACCCCATAGGACAGATAAAGTTGATATATGCCTCTCATCACTATTACTGTAACTATAGTTACAGTAATGGCTAAAATGCACGACATTTAAAGACGAAAATGCCGAGAAACAAATAGCGAACACCTAACGATAGAAGAGTAATTCGATATATAATATCTAATGATATATGAAGAATCAATTAGCAAACAAACAACAAATTAATGTGAATAAGAACTATACTTCGGACCACAACCGAGTAAGCGCCCAAAGTGAAGGGACAATACAAGACCAATGAGTTAAAACAAATGAGTACTATAAATGTATATTATTTCATGCAGTAACACAACTCATGGGCCCAAAAATTATTTGTGTTTAAGGAATACAAACTCTGGAATTTTTCGGACACACAATAAGCCCAGAACTGATTACACTGATAAAATAATAGGAGGACATCATTAGGCAGTAGAAGGTGGCATCCTTGACCAACTGTCTGAAAACTACCGGAAACCGATTGAGTTCTCAAAAAGACTCGCTTCGGTAGAGACAAGGTATTATTACCTTCAGACAAGAACTGCTCGTAATTTCCCTAACCACTTAACATTTCCAACACACTAAATTCAAACTACCATCAGGTAGTTTGATTTACTGTGTGTCGACCAAGGCGATGCTTCGAACGTTCGTCCCCAAACTACGCAAGAAACAATATTTAACAACTTTCGTGTTTTGCCTCATTCTGCCTCGAAATTTATTACCAAACGAATCAATGTGAGATATACATGACCGAGTTTACAAAACGATGCAGAAAAATGGAACAATCAGAGGTTAACCGTCAATGTTCATACAGATTTAAAAGGTCTGTTACTGTGTTCCAATAGTTTTAATTATCTATTTACATGTACCGACAACGAGCATCACAGCCGAAACAGTGACCAAAATTTTTACACAGAACTGGGTGACCATTTTTGATAAACCTATTTCAACAACAACAGACAAAGAAACTCGATTTGAATCTGAACTATCCAACAACGTATCTAAAATTTTGAGCTCCAACAGAATACGTTGCGCTGTATATCATCATTAGGCTAGTGGGATAACAGAACGTTTCCACCGTCAGCTAAAGGCTTCTCTAATATCACACTCAAACCCAAGTCAGTGAACAGAATTCCTGCCATCAGTTATGTTGGGAATAAAAACAGATGTCGAAACTTATTCACAGTGTTCATCAGCACAACTGATCTTTAAGACAGCTTTAATACTACCAAATGAGCTTATCAATCCTTGAAATGAATGCAATGAACTTGACTTGGAAAGTTACGTGGACCGTCTGCGGAGCCAAAGATCCTAACTTAAACCAATTAATACTCGTGAACAGTTGTAAGCAGCATTTGAACTTTCAGACCTAAGTATTTGCACGCACGTTTGGATGAGGTGTAACAAAATAAATGCACCACTTGGCTCTCCATTCTAAGGTCCATACAAATTTATCCCAAGAAAACTTGAACATTTCTTAGTACATAAACATGGAAACGCAGACTCAGTAAGTACTGATCGGCTAAAACCGGCTTATTTATATAACGAACCACTGTACTTATTATTAGACTGTTCACCTGACAAAATAATTAAAGAATTGACAAGTAACAGCTAGAATTCTCCACAGGTGACCGGAACGTCCAGATGGGCACGGCTGTTTATTCAAATAGGGATATCTACGGTTTTGGGTTAAACTTAAAATTTAAACTTGTATCTACTAAACTTTTGGTCTATGAAATTCTGTGTGCTTATTTAAATAACCAAAACAAAAAAAGATGGTTTTACACGTACCGTTCCACCCGTATTTTTAAAATGATAGTTTCAACACAGTAGTACTCTTCAGTAATATCTTACCTGCCCTTCTTCAGATCATTTACCTTTTATGTCTGAATGTTATATTAATTTTTTTATACTGATTACATAAGTGATTTATCCCTACACAATCCGCCGAGAAACATAGATCGAAAACGTTTAATCAGCAGGGGTAAGTTACAAAGGAACGATCAGATCATTTACCTTTTATGTCTGAATGTTATATTAATTTTTTTATACTGATTACATAAGTGATTTATCCCTACACAATCCGCCGAGAAACATAGATCGAAAACGTTTAATCAGCAGGGGTAAGTTACAAAGGAACGAAGAGTCTTCGACTGAGGTAAGGGGTGTGAGCAAGCTATGTAAGTGGAACCAGTCGTTGTTTTATATTTTTCCATTAATAGGAGAAAATAAGAAAGTTTAGTAAAATCATTGAATAAACTCCCCGAGAATAATTACTGTAACTCCAAGCAACGGACCCTCACAACTACGATGAATTCTGAAAGTAATCTAGGCGAGTGTCTCTAGTTCACCAGATGATCTGTTATGTTTATAGTACTTGTTACGGGAGGACTGAAGAAATTTGGCTGATTAAAACCTTTCTATTAAATATTATTAATTTCACTACGTTTTTGGATGTATTTGTTTAACTCAACTTCATTAGTTTCGGACATTTTGGTTTCTTTTGTCCTTGGTTTGGTATTTGAGAGTTTCTGCTCCGGCAACCTATGGAATTGAAGGTTTGTTCTGTAATTATTGTTGTCAGAACAACATTCGGGCCGACTATTTGTAAATTGCGAATAAACTTCGGTATCTAAATTGGAGTTTGGTTCTATTGTTAATTTGGGTTCGTAGATTGCAAATAGATCGATATACCGTACTTCAATAACGAGAATGAGCAAAAACTTGTACGTCACAGTATTTATACCATGAAGCACTTAAACTCATCCAGACTATTCATATACACATATAATCACCAAAGCCACATACAAACTCGTTTTTGATATGAGACATTCCATGTTTTCAAACGACAATATACTACCGATAAAATGTGGGTTTAAAACGATGCATTTTAAATCAAACAATAGTTCGACACTTGCTGATAATTTTCATCGTCATTTATATATGCCTATAAAGGTTATGCACTAGATTAACGAATATTTATGCAACATGATTTTTAATGTAATCAGGTAACTCAGATTCACTGACGATATTCAGACCGCTGTTTTTAACGTTTAATTGCTGACATCTTTGAATCAGTAAACGTGAACGTGTAGTCGTATTGGTCACTAACTGCACGATTCTCAAAGCTGAACATATAATCACTGAGAAGATTGACACTTGACCTGTAGCATTGAAGGAGGTCGTTATTGGTGAATGCGGTAAAAATCGATTGGTCTGGTATGGCTCAGCCTTGCAGATGTTATTCTTGTGTAATTCATACCTTTCCTCAATAAATATGTTAACTTTTCCTCAGTCCAAATGTGCCCGTCTGGAGTGCCAAACATCGTATCGCCGTCTTTTACGATACGATGAGTCAGTGTAGACAATGATGTGACTTCCACGCAAGATCGTAAAAATCAAGTAGTAATACCATAATAAATCTACAATTTTGGGATTACGCCAATTATTAGAGTAGTACAAATACCGAGTTAGCTCATACTTCAACAGATGCATTTTGAACCACCAAAAGTTTTCAGCGTCTATAACAACACTAACTCTTTTCCCATATACAATGCCAAACCAAGACTACAAATAGCTATTCACAATGGTTTCTTGACATCGTCGTAAACAACCATGTAATATGGTTGATATGAGCGACAAAACTAGGAAATAAATCAGTCGCTAACCTGACTGACAAATATTTCCACAAATAGTGTCGTTTTCCAGCAGTTATCTTCATTTAAAACTGATGTTTCCAAAATAGTTTCTTATCACTAGGTTCCTTAGTAAGTGCTGTGTGACTATCAGTTTGATTCAGGTTTTGACGACAGCCACTTGTGCAAACCATTAGTGTAAGCAGTTGGGGGATTCCCCTAAAATCTGAGAGCACCATCGTCGTATTTATACAAATACTGAATAAAAGCTCATACCATTAGCATAGAAATGGGTCACGAGTTATGCTCCGTTTGACAAAGACCACTGATCACACTAATACTCTCATGTCTCGCACTCACTTTATCAACTTTTATGCATTCAGTTGACAGAAGACACCTCACATTACATAATCTTTGACGAAACCACGTGATCTGTATTGATCATTTCTTTCAAACGGATTGATTTATAGCTTATGTTTGACCTAAAGATGCCGCAGGTAATCGGAGTTTGACAAAGCCTTTACCAGTAACACCTTTAAGTTCAAAATGTATCGACCCAAACAAATCAAAAGTCAAAAGCGGAGGATTTCGAAGATATATTTCGAGGATTATCGATATGTCCAGAAGCGTTTGGTCTATTCTGGCTAGCAGTCGAAAGGGATGCATAGCATGGTGTACCCATGCGTGATCTGGTGCGAATGCGTGACCGACTGCCTGAATCTTGGTAATTCCAGTAAAAACAATGAGGTCAATATCAATATCGAAGACTTGCAGAACTATTTAATTCGAGGACATATTTACAAGTACAGATCACTCCCCTACCTTGATGAGGTGGTGATAAACTTAAGACATGGCCAATCAGAAGTTTAAACCCAATTAGTATGTCGTTAGTTAACACGCTTCTGATAGCTTACAATGTTCAGCAGCGTCTAGTCGTCTTTCCGTATTATGAGAAGCCATGTGATACTACAAGGCGATGAAAAAATGTTCAATGAAGAATTCTCTTAATCAATTTTCATCATTTCCAGCCGTCCTGTCAAAGAAAAAAGTGATTGTAAATGAATGTTGAAATACACGTACGTGAGTACGGACAAAATGTGCGATAAAGTAAAATAAGTTGGTATGAATGCATTTTTTAACATGCGATAACGTACAAAACAATTTTCACACAATGATTGTTTGGTCTTTTTAGGAAATAAAATGTACACACATATTCTTAGACCTTGGGAAAGCCTTTGGTAAGGTCCCACATAAAAGACTTCTCGTCAATCTAAAGAATTTTGGAATCAACAACTCACTATACCCATGATTTGCTTCGTTCTTAACAAAACGTAAACAAACGGCAAAGTACAATGACTCTTTCTTTCATCACCTAAACCACTAACTAATGGAGTCATCCAGGGAAGTGTATTAGGTCCACTATTGTTTCCTATGTATATAAACTATATATGTAACACCATAAAACTTGGGAGACCATAATTATAAATAGTGTAAAGCTTTTAATCTGAAGTTCTAAGCGAAAGTTTATACCAGATTCAAAGCGACCTTAACAACTAAACTATCCGGAGATAAAAATGGAAATTATCATTTGACTTTAACAAATGT